CTACCAAGCAAGGTGGTAATGGAGAGGTAGACGTGGAGAAGCCAGGCCATGCCAGGGAATTGTCCTTCACCATAAGGGAACTGGAACCCAGGAAAGGGTTTCTCCAGATATACATTTTTAAAAAAATCACCCTGGAAGCTATTGGGCATAGAGACTGGAATAGAGGCCAGATAGGAAGGAAGAAAAATAGAGCAAAGTGCCAGACGCTGTGGTGCACACCTGTAATACCAGCACTCAGGAGGCTACGACAGGAGGATCAGTAGTTCAAGGCCAGCTTGGACTTTATAACAAGACCTTTTCTCAAAAGGGAGTTGGGTGGAGAAGAGGTAAGGCCGGGCATGGTGGCACACACCTGTAGTACCAGCACTCAGGAGGCTGAGGCAGGAAGATCACTCCAAGTTCAAGGTCAGCCTGGGCTACAAAGTGAGCTCAAGGCCAACCTGAACTGCAGAGCGAGATCCTGTCTCAAAAAGACAAAAACAAAAAGTTTTTTTAAAAAAAGAAGAAAAAGACGAGGAAAGAAAAAAAGCACAAAAGCAGAGCGGCAGTATACGAAAGCATGAGATGGCCTACGTGAGAGGGGGCAACCTGAGCTGCCATGGTAGCAGGAGAAGAAGCCTAAGAGACACCCCTTAGATGTGCTATGACAAACAGATTTCCCTCCAGGCCTGTGACTGCGAAGCATATTCTACTGAGGCATTCTAAGCAATCAAAAGCCGCAACACTGTGCTCCATGGAGCAGTTATCAACAGATCAGATGAACCCTGAGGAGACCTGCCTGCTGGGTAGCCTAAGCCCCAGAGTTATGGGGGAGCATCTCTCTCGGACCAATCCCAGAATCTACCAGAATAGGAGTGACTCATATACTTCCTCCAAGAAGCCTTCCGTGCCTAACCTCCTGCCAACCCAGAACCAGCTCAGCACTGGAACACAGTTTTTATATTTTCACAGGCATATTCTCTCCTATGACTTTTTTCATGGTACCATGTGCCAGCTCTCCTATTAAACCACAAACTCCTGAGGACCAGGGCTGCTTCTCTTGAATTTTCCAACCAAACCTATGTAAACTGTAGGAGTTCAGTTAATGCTGTACACACTAAGACAGAACCAAGGAATCTCAGGAGATGGAAAAGCCCATAGTTGGTCCTGCCTCCCTATTCCCAATATTCCCTCTCCACGCTTTTAGTGACAGATGGCATTGTGGTCAGAGCACTAGTTTTTAGGACAGGAAATCTGCATTCAAACTCCAGATTTTACTTGGCAACTGTATGACCACAGGCAAGGTACTTCACCTCCCTAAGCCTCAGGAACCTCATGTGTTTAATTCACATAATCATGACACTCCATGATAAAAGACTACTTGAGAGTGAATGAGACAAAAAGTGCCTAGCACAGTCTCAAGTAAATGTAGATGTTAAGTAAATTTAGCTGGTATTACTGATGCTATGACCGTAAGAATAATAGGATCTTGACCTGGGGTATAGCTCAGTGGTATAGCTCACGGTTAGCATGTGCGAGGCCCAGAGTTCAACACCAGCACAAATAAATAAATAAATAAATAAATGCATCTCAGAGTGTTGCGAAGATTAAATGATTCAATGTAAAATGCTTAAGCTATCATAAGAGCTCAATGAGCGCCAGACATTACTATTATTATCATTACTACTATAGTTAGAGGATTTAGTCCACTTTTCTCCACAGGCTAGATCTAGCACCAAGGAACACAAATTCAGGCCATCCAGATAATCAACAGCTCCCTAGCATGGATCAGGCTCAGGAGTATGTGCTGGTGCTACAAACCTAATTACGCATGACCCTGAATCTGTACTGAATCTGCTACTAAGAAGCCAGATACATAAGCAGGTGACTATATCGTGTGTTCAGCACATTAAGAGAAATAGTAGAAAACATGACAGAACACAAAGGTAAGGACAACTAACATTATTTTGTAAGATGACAGAGCAGAGCTCCAGAGAGATATTTCTTGAAGAATAAGCAGGAGATCACCAGATAAGCAGAGTCAAGGAGTTTAAGGCAGAAGGAACAGCTCCCATGAAGTCAAAGAGGCAAGAATGAAAATTAATTATAACAATAAAACCTTCCACTCACTGTATACTTCCTATGTTCTAGGAGCTATAGTAAGTTCCATATACATCACCTCACCTAGTGAATTTTAGCTAGAGACTACCATTTCCATTTTTCAAATAAGGAAAGTGAGACCTAGCATTTAAAAAAAAAAAAAAATCTTAGGGAGCCGGAGAGATAGCTCAGTAGAATAAGTGCTTGCCTGGCAGGTGCAGGGTCCAGAGTTCAATCACCAGCACCGCAAAAAGAAAAAAAAAAAAAAAAAAAAAAATCTTAAAAGCATGTTTCTGTTTGTTTGAGACAGGGCCTTGTTATGTAGTCTAGGTTAGCCTTGAGTTCACCACGCAGTCCAGACTGGCCCCAAACTGACAGCAATCTGCCTCTCTCAGCCTCCTGAGTACCTGAACTACAGGCATGCACTACCACACTCAGCTTTAAAAAAGTGCTTTTAAAAATTCATCCAAGGGGGCTGGGGATATAGCGCCTGCCAGGCAAGTTTAAGGTCCTGAATTCCATTCCTGATACCAAAAAAAAAAAAAAAAGCCCTCACCCAAGGTTTCACACTAGCAAATGACACAGCACAAGATGCATACATCCAGGTCTATCTGACTCCAAAGCCTACGTCCTTAACCACTCTGACCAGACCAGAAAGCAAGCCAAGGAGGGGTGTGGCAGGAGTGATCCAGAATGAAAGGCAAGAAGAATATTCCAGAGGCTTAGAAAGATTGCACTGTCTTTAGTCCCTAATGGGGGCATCATGGGATTTCACAAAGCAAACTGGTATGATGAGATTTTGGAAGGATGACTCTGACAGCTTCACAAAACTAATTAGAGGGGGGCAAGAACAGAAGCAGAGAGCCCACTTAGGAAGTTATCCTGCAAGCACAGGCAAGAAATGCTGAACTACGTCTGTGGTTGTCGGGATGGAAAGAAAGGCCAGGCTCTGCAGCAGCAGAGGCATCCAAATAGCACCTGATACTTGCAGCAGTAAGTGAGGGCGAAATGGGAGGGAAACTACAGCGCCCCAACCCGTATGCAGCTAACAAATTTCTACTGCATTTCTTCCAGTGTAGACTTGGTTGACCGAGTGAAGTCCTTCGACGACATGAGCAATACAAGTAGAAGAGGAACAGATAGATCCAGGGGACCAGGGAAAGCCAGAGAGAGATAGGATCGTTAAGCAGATATAAGCTCTGGAAAGGGTTCTGGCTGGAGAGAACTTTACCGACTAGACGGCAACTGAAATTCTGGGCGCACTCCCCTGGAGCTGAGTGTGAGGAGTGCAGAGGAGGGGCCCGCAGAGAGCTGACGTCGGAGGTTCGCGGAGAGGGGGTCGCGGAGGCCAAGCGAGGACTCTCAAATCAGTGCAAAGAAAACAAAAACTTCCCAGCTTCCCCCGCTGCCCAAAACATGGCATCAGGTTGGGGTAGCCCCAGATTTGGATGCTGAGAAGGACACAGGCAGAGTTCGGGAGGCCGGGCCTCGCAGCCTGCCGGGGGCAGGACGGGCGAAGGAGCGCCGCGGCGGTCCTCGCGTGGCCGGCGCCCTCACTCCGGCCCCGGCCGCCGCCCACTCACCTGCCAGAGCCCCGCTGCCCACTCGCGAGCGGCGACAGGACGTCGTGAAGCGACGACACTCCCTCGGCCGCTCCTTTTGCACTTTTCTCTCTGTTCCCGCCTGCACTCGCGCACACCCCGCTAGCCGGCAGGCCAGGCTGCCTCAACTCCCCCGTAACCTTCCTTTCCCAACCACGCCATCCCGCCCCTCCCCAAGGAAGTCCTCACCTGTCCCCCACCCCGGAAGGGTCAGGGCGATGACTGCGCCGCTTCTCCAGCACCACCCCGGCTCCCCGCTTCCAGGGACGCCGGGGTGTTGCCCTGCAGCGGCCAGAACCCACTTCCGGACGGGTACCAACCTAGCAACTGAGAGTCCCGCCTCTAACCGGAGCTAATAGGGCGCTGACCGAGAGCTCTGGCATTGGATTGGTTCGAAGTCCCGTCAGAATACGCAGGAGCTTCGCATTGCACGATGGAAATTGTAGTTCATCATTAGGTGATGGGGTTTCTTTTTTTAAGGCGCGTACAAAGTATTTTAACAGAAAAATTACAAACGTTACAGAATTTCACTAAACAAAATAATATGAATTTCACAGCACTTTTTGTATTGCATAGTCTTCAAATTAGTTGTTCATATTACCAGACAAATGCATGCAAAATTGGAAGAAAAAATTTTAATTTCATATATAATACTTTCTAATAATATATATGTGTGTATATATTATTAGAAAGTAAGATGAGAGAAAAAAGAAAAAGAATTGAAAAAATAAGACAAAATAAATCAAAGATCAACTTCTTTCCATAGACCAGCATAAATGCACAGTACAGCTGCCCAAACCACCCTGCTTCCATACACAGATATATCTCTTTCCCCCAATCCCTTTCCTGTTCTCCTCAACTCAGTAATTCTGTCCTTTTGAACAGGTTCGTTCCCTTTTCCCAGTATCTACTGTACCCTTCAGATTTTATTTTCTCTTTCAGGTTCTCACATTGAGATAATACAATGTTTGATGGGGGCTTCTTGAGTGATTAAAAGACCTGAATGTAGATATGAGGAGAAATTTTTCCAGGATATGGAAGGACCATTAAAAATATTAACGGTGTCTCTTCTGCTTCAGTCCGCCATCCAGTGCGTGCTCTTGCCTCCTACCCTCACTATGTCTTCTCACAAGACTTTGAGAATCAAACGATTCCTGGCCAAGAAGCAAAAGCAGAATCGCCCCGTTCCTCAGTGGATTCATATGAAGACAGCTAATAAAATCAGGTACAACTCCAAGAGGAGACACTGGAGGAGGACCCGGCTAGGACTGTAAGGAGCTGCACATGGGCTGCAACACATTCACCCTCTGGGAGGTCACAGACGATGTCCTCTTCTAATCATGGTCAAGACAATACTGAATAAAGTTTTTAAAATAACCATTGCCTAGACAGCGGAATATACTTAATCAGGAATCTTATATTTTTCTGTGATCAGTACTATTAAATCAATAAATTTTTGAAACCTTAAAAAAAATATTAACAGTGGCCTGGGAATTCGGCTCAGCGGCCTAAGTGACTGCCTGACAAGTGCAAAATCCCAAGTTTGATCCCCGGCACCACATGCC